GCACAAGCTGCTAGGCAGCGCTTCCGCATGGCATCCGCAGGAATGAATGTCCTTGGCTGGACGCAGCCTCTTGATTTATACTTCTGCGCTGCGTTGGTCTGCCCTGTATCCCTGGCCCATGGTGCACACAGTCCCCCCCGTGGTACTTGCTGGACCGGACTGGTACTTTCTAGACTCCACCTTGACTGTATGACGACGACCCTGCTTTAGTCACACCACTTGACCACTTGCCTGCACCACTTGACCACTTGCCTGCACCACTTGACCACTTGCCTGCACCACTTGACCACTTGCCTGCACCTAACAGGGGCTGACTTCCTTTCGGTACTGTAGCAGCTACGACCTTGCCCTTTCAGGTGAGTAGCAGCTACGACCTTGACTCTTTAGGCAGTCTACAGCTACGACTCCGGAACTGTCTAGACTTCTACCCTACAGGTCTACAGTTCGATTCCCTTCTATCCTGTGCCCTACGACAATCTACTTACYACTGGCGGTTCTACAGGTCGCAGATTCAACTCTTCGAGTTGACGCAGGTATTATACACAGGTAAGTTGGGGAACTAGGGATCAAGCCCTGGGATCTGCCTCAGCTACCACGAATTGGTGAATACCGTTTCAAAGGTGATGTTGTTAGCGTCAGAACAGTCGGTCTTTGCAGGTTAATAATCAGGCAAATTAATAATTATTAGTATGCGAAATTGTGGTCCGATAACTAACTGGAAGTTAAATTAACTGATTTGTTTATGAATCAAGTATCCACTGTAGTTGTTAACCGATGGCCAATGGGGGTTAAGAGTCCAGGTGGTATCGGGGATGAATATATAATAGTTGAATTGACAGAGATATTTTACACCCAATTATGAGAGACGGTTAACGGGGGCCCAAATATTCGCCGTTTTCGTTGGCAATTGCGGTGCGAATTTCATCAAAAATTTTAAGAACAAACGATATGATACCATAGTGCAAACATCAAAAAAGGAAACAGGCCAAAAAGAACGAAAAAAAAAAACAAAAAAACACTAGGAAACCCTAACACAAAGACTCTGTCCGAGTCAAAATAAAGCGTCCAACGAATCCATGTGACGTACCCTAAAGCACATATATATCACACAAAAAGAAAAACAAGAAAAAAAGCAAAAAATCAGCACAATATGACAGTTTCAGTGCAATTCGGTGCAAAATTCGTCGAAAATAACACCCTTGGTTAACCACATGTGGAGTGTGGGTTCTAATTAGTGCAAGGCAGTGATTAACGCCGTTGTACTGATTAGCACTATAATATACTGAATGAGCAAAGAGGGGGGTTGGGTGGCTTGGCTGAGAGCTAGGAAGAGGCCTTGTCTCTACTGGTGCTCAGAAGCCGAGGAATAGCCAAGACCATGTTGCTGACGGCAGCAGAAGGGTCAGGGGGCCAGTCAGGCCCAAGTGCGTCAGGATCTTGCAGGGGTAAGTCCTGGACAGGGAGTCCAGCCAGACCTAGGCCAATAACTGGAGCAGGGCTGATGAACGATCGCGGCGCACCAGCAGTTGCTTCCGTATCAGAGACAGAACAAACTTAGACGCTTGGACTGGCCGAAAAGAGAACAGGATGCAAAGCTCAGCGAACTAGAAGAGCAGAAGAGAAAGGCAAGCGAGTTAAAAGATAGACTTTGTACACCACGAGGAAACACTGGGGTGCATCTGGCATCATCACCACCACTTCCCCCCCCACCCCACCCCACCCCACCCCAAAAGAAAGCAGTTTTCAATGCGGAACGCAGTTGCCAATGGGAACAAATAAGAGGGTCCAAGATGATATACGATGGTTGCCAGCAAGGGACTAGCGATGGTTATTCTCATGATTGAAGCAGATAGGGAAGAGGCTCACATTCCTCTGATAAGATGCTTGGGGTTGCACTTTAGGATCAGTTTAGGCCGCCTCTTAGGCCGCTGGTTTGAGATGGTAGTTTGCCTGGAATAAGGTTCATTTGGAACCCCTAGGATGTACTTGACTTTTTTGACTGTGCTTCAAGGTTTATTTGGGAAGTTGGCTTCTTTTTAGAGAGCAGGGACGCTGGACCCGGTTTCCAGCAGAGCCTAATTTGGGTTACGGTCCCAAGATATTTCCGGGTCGATTTGTGAGGTCTCCGGCCTCTCTTAAGTTTTTTTTTGTTTTTTTTTTTTGAAAATTCTGCATTTATACCAAATTTAATCAGTCGAGGCCGGGGACCTCACAATTCAACCCGGAGTTATCCTGGCAGCATCAGCCAGTTTAGCTTACAGTCTAGGACTGCGGCCCTACCATTCCTACTATTCTCAAATTCTCAGACTTAGACTTTATAGCACGACCTTACCTTTCCCAAGCTTTTCTGTCCGTCTCAGATATCCGGCCAACTTCCTTTTAATTTTAACTGCCTATTACTTCATCCAGACTGCCATTCTACGTCCTCTGTTTCAGTCTTATTAACCCAATATGCAAACCATTCTACATCTCTGTTCCTACTGTAACTATGGTACGGAGGCCTACCCAGCCTCATACCAGCCTATCTCGGCTGGTTGGAACCTAGGTTCCTAGTAACAGTGGTATTCTGCCACCCTCCTCCCCTATGTGACCTCCTGCGGTCGGCACCACGAACCCAGTGCCCTGGTTCGTACCTCTTTTTTTGAGGAAWAMARWCMCSCAAMYTTYCAAAAAAAAAAAAAAAAAAAAAAAAAAAAAAAAAAAGTTTTATTGCCCGTGACAGGGTTTTCCAGCTCATGGGGGTTTGGCCTGGGAGAATTGACGGAAGGGGAGTGGTCGGGGAACCCATGAGATGTAAAAACCGAACCGACATCTCATGGGTTTCCCGACCACTCCCCTTCCGTCAATTCTCCCCGCGCAAACCCCCCTGGAGCGGACGGAGACTGGCGGCCTAGCTCAGTTGGTAAGCAGGCAAGTGGCATTCAGGAGGTCTTGGGTTCAATCCCCATTGGCCTCATGGACCTTTCTGGGCAAGCTTGGCGCCCGCCACCTATAGAGATATGCCGTTGGTCCCCCCAAGTGGCATTGAGCAGAGACTGCTAATGTCCATAGGGGGAG